TTTTTTTATTTAACAATTAATTGACTAATGATACTATCATAGTAAACGGATTTTTAACTTGAATTTGAAAGCTGGTATCTTTAAATAAAAAAATTTAAAAATTGATATTTTTATTTAGAAATGAATAAAATTAATATTTTTAAATAGAAAAAAAATATAAAATACGATGTTGCAAAACAAATGGTGGAGTTCTGCAAAATGGGTTACTAATTACCTTAGAAACTTCCACAGACTTTACAACCACAAAAGCGTAATAAAAGCTACAAATCATAAATTAACACAAAGTCTTAAGGTAATTAATCTAACATAAGATCAATAAAAGAAAACAACATGCCATAAAAATAAAATTCGTAGATAGCAGAAAATGTAATATCACAAACAATGATTTCTACTATGCAATCCATAATAATTAAACTTAATTACTTGCATATTTAAAATAAAAATAGTTAAACTACTTGATAACTAAAAATGAAAGAGAATCTACGAAATAATTAAAGTCTGGAAACTTATAAAATTAAATCTGAAAATTGAAATTAAATAAATTGCATGTCTGGTTGTTGTGCAGAAACAAAAAAACAAAGGTAGAAAGCATTCGACTTATTTACATGAACAAATAACATAACTGAATCCATAAAAGAAAGAAGAACTAGCCAAATCAACAAGGCAGACCTGTTTTGTATGCTGAATTGCTTCCAAATGCTTAAAAATTAACTTAAATTGAAGTCTTTGACGAAAGATATGAACAAAGATGGAAAAAGCTAACCTAAGGCTATGAACAAGAACAGATCTAGTAAACTAATCTAGAAACTATTGCTGAAATCTGGAAAAAGCAGTTTGAAAGTTGAAAAACATGCTCTGTGCAGTGTGTGGGTAGGGCAGGCCGTCTGTAACTAATCTCTTCTCCCTGTTTTTCTTTCCTTCGGTGCTGGAAAACTTCCTCCATGTTTCTCAGCCCTCTCTCACCATGATCGAGTAGTGGGGGTTCTATGTTTGGCAGCTATTTGGCAGCTATTTGGCAGTTGACAGTTTTTATTTAACTTTATCTCCAACAAAATCTTAAAAATAACTGTCTAAAAACTCTCAACTTCCTACTTTAAATCAAACTCAAAATACTAGAATCCAGCTTATCCTCTATCACTTGAAATCCAACCTCCTTATAACTTCGTTTGGGCAATTGAAATCCAAGTTGGCTCAACCCAAATCAACCTAATCTCCTTAAAAATTGGGTTTACTCTTAACACATGGCTTTATCTCATTAATTTATTTTTAAGGTGTAAACACACATTTTCTCGAAAACTTTTAATTTTGAACTAATTTTGTCCATCAACCTTTTTTTTTGCATCTTTTCAACCTTTAACTTTGAAAAATATACCTTTTTTTTTTTAATCTTTCAATCACTTAATCAGTTAATTCTGTTTATAAATGCACATTAATCATTAAATTCATCAAACTAACTTAGAAAAAATTTTCATTTTGAAAACCAAAAAAATACATATCTTTCAAAAAAAAACAAAAAACAAAAAAAGTGCAAATAAATAGTTAAGTGATTAAAAATATTTCAAATTAAAAGTTTAGAGACTAAAATTGATAATTAACCTTTTTTGTGGGTTTTGACCCTAGAAGCTATTTATCATTGGAATTAGCCCTTTTCTTTTGGTTCTTTGCATGCAACTCCTTTAATTGAAAATGAGTAGTTTTTCACACCTTTCCTTTTTGCTCCATAAAATTCAAAAGCCACAACATACTTGAATCAGCAAAATAAACTCAGGTAGTAAATTAGTAGTTACCATTCACTCGCACTTCTAATGGCTATCAAAGAATTGAAAAGTAGAACCACCTACACCACTACAATAAGCAAATGATTAGAATACTAAAGGACCCATTGTTGCCTACATCATGTTGTGCTTCTTGCAATTTGCACCACAATCGAAGGTGTGCTTCCTTATATAAATGGCGAGTAGACTATCATGCCCAACTAAGCAAGATTGTACCCTCAATGTCCTTTTCTTGATGTTCAATGTGTGGTCTATATTAATTACAAGCACCACTAGTGAGGTAAATATCAATTTCCTAACTAATTAAGCATGCTTAACATCTTAATTTATATATTTACCAGGCTGACATTGCAGCTCTTTATTGGAACTTATAAATCTATGAAATTTTCTTAAAGGGGAAAATTGAAGTGGTCTCTAAAGCGAAAAAGACGTGGAGTTAAACAAATCCCAAAAAAATAAAAAAAAATTAAACAAATCTTCCATTGTCAAGAGTAGTTTCTTTCTCCCATTTTATTGTTATTATTTTTTTGTATAAATCTGTCATGCCCCTTCATTTCGTTTTAAAAGAACTGCCAACAGCGGCACATGAAATCCTTCCTAAATCAATCATGTTCTTCCATTATCTTCACTCGATTTTCCGGCGATACGGATGGTCTCCATCGCTGCTACAGGCGGCGACGTGGACGGTTATGTTAACGTCAGTGGTAGCCATGGCATCATTCGCGCCGGAGATGGC